GGGGGTGGAGAGGGAGAGCTTCCACAGTATTGGCAGGTGTTCTCAGGAACGCATTTGCAATTGCCGCAGTCTTTGTAACTGGCGGGACAGCCAATCACTGTGGATGGACGGCTGCTGATTGGGGATGTAGTTGGAGGGGATGGGGTTGGGGATGGGGTTGGGGATGGTGCTGGGAGTGAGGGCCGAGTGATAGCACCAGGACACCACTGGCAGGAGCTTTCTGGCACACAAAAGCAAGTGCCGCAATCTCTGTAGGCTGCTGGGCAACCGATGATGGTGGATGGCCGGCTGTTCACAATGCCTGTGGTGGGAGCGGGCAAAGCTGGCCGTGCTGGAGGATTGGCAGCAAAGGGACACCACTGACAAGTGGCCCTTGCCACACAAAGGCATGTGCCGCAATCAACGAATCCGGCTGGGCAAAATGGCACCACTGATGGTCGAGCTACAATTTCTGGAGTTGGTCTCGGTGAGGTAGACACCACTTGTCCCGGCGGACCTTCTTGCCAAGCCCCTGGGCAGTTGCCACAAGAAGATTCCGGCACACAAAGGCAGGTTCCGCAGTCTACAAAGCTGGCAGGGCAGTATGGAACCTCTGATGGCCTTGACACGATGTGTCCTCCATGTGTGGGATTTTGCCAAGCTCCTGGGCACAAAATGCAAGTGGATTCCGGCACGCAGAAGCAGGTGCCGCAATCTCTGTAGGCTGCTGGGCAGTACGGCACTCTCGATGGTCTGGAGATGATGCCCGGCGACGTCAAACCGTCATAGCTCGAAGTGGTGGTGCTCGGCATGGGCTCTGGCGTAGTCACCTGCGCACGAACTGACGGGAGAACTGACCGAAGTGCTGTGAAGTCCCAAGTGGTGCACATTCAAGCAGTTCATGCCGATTTCGTAGAGCTTCGTTCGATCACAATATTTTGTCCTTACACTTACACCACTATCTGTCTCGCAACGTGACCAAAGAACGCCTGCACAGGGCTAGTGGTCACTGGCTCGGTCCCGGGAGTGGTCGCCACCGCGGCTGCTCCTGGCCATCCAGTCTGTCAAAGTGCTTCAATGAGTACCTCCCAGCTTCCCTTTTCTGGAAGGCTGCCAAGTCCATCTAACTAAGTTCATACGACACGGACCAAAACCCCCGTTCCTCCTTTACTCCCACTCTGAGAGGCTGTCCTGGGCACCAATTGCAGCTACTTTCCGGCACCTCGCACCAGCCAAACCGTGGTTTCGACAAAAGAGTCGACCTCTTCAATGCGTCAAGGATCTAGAAGGCTTTCTTGAGAACCAGAAGTGCTACTGCCAGAGTGTAATCAGTTCTTGTACTGACCTCAGACATGTGCCCCAAACCCCGCAGCAACTTCTGCCAGGAGGCGCAGCTGCATTGGCCACAGTCCTTGTTCGTCTCCGGGCATCCAGGAACCTCCGAGGGGCGCATGGAGACATTCCTTGGTGCTGAACTTCCCCGACTGAGGCTTCAGAGGGGCGCCTGAGCCAGTCTAAGCCAACCTATTCCTCAATCTCAAAGCTTTAAATGTCAAATTCTGATTCCTGCACTCGCACCGCAATACGTGCTATAACGCCATCAGAATTCAACTTTGGGCAAGGCACGGCAGTGGGTTGGGCAAAGGCTGGACGGGATGCTCTCCACAACTGGAGCAAACAGCCTCGAGCATTTCATTGAATGGAGTGGGTTCCCAACACTCGGGTAGACGGTAGTCAGGCTTTTCTGCTAGGCTGCCAAATCAACAAAAAGCTCAAAGTTGGCCAAACGGCTGAGTGTGCCGGCCCACAGTCACAAAAGGCTCAAAAACCTTCTGGCAATTTCTGGCATGCACCTAGTCTTGAGGGGTAGTCCAAAATGTCCAAAATTCAGGTCATTGCATCCGTCCATTTCAGAAGCTCACGAGTCCAGACACATGGCCTCTGGAACGCAAAGGCAAGAGCCACAGTCTTTGAAGTTCCTCAGGGTTGATGGCATGTCAAGTCTTGGAAATCTTGAGGCTGAAGAGAATCCATCATCGAATGTAGGACTGAAGTTACAGTGGCATCCCCCGGACACTAGCTAGCATTTGTTGACTTCAATTCATGGCCAATGGCAGTTCGCCTGAGCAGCTCTGAAGGGTATTCTGTCGCGCATTCCGCAAAAACCGTTCGCCTTCTTTTCTTTGTCTCATGTTGTAAGGCACCGTCGTATCATGAATTCATGTGTTTCTCGTCTTGCAATTCTCATACCAAAACCTCTGCAAGTCCATTTTCTCGCTTTGCACAGTTTTTCGTCTTGCAAGATGAAAGACGAAACCCCGACATCATCCGACCATCAAATCCATTCCTGCCATCTTCAGTCCAAGAGACTTGGGACACAAGGGCACCGAGGAATTGCCCGTGCCCGAACCAGGCGGATTCACTGGTGGATGTGGATGGTCGTCCGAACACCAGGAACACCTCAGGCCAGGCCCAGCTAGGCCAGCTATGGAGCTGGGAACACATCCGGGCTTAGAAGGCTCACATTCTAACGATTGTCTAGTAGCTCCTGGTGCGTTCTCAACAGAAGTCGCTCGCCCAAAGGGTTCTTGCCCATCCCACAACATACCATGACACATTGCAATCTTGGATGTCTTTGAGGATACCAATAAGAAATTCCAGCAAGTTTCAAGTGCCTTGTGTTGCTGACGCCTATGCTCACCTCCCGTGAGTGACATTTCCAGCTCAGGCGCGTGGAGCTGGGGACGCATTGGCAGTTCCCACAGTCAACATGCGTCTCGGGGCAGCCGACCACGCTGGAAGGCCTCTGGCTTATGCAATTGGAAGATTGAGCTCATTTCAGAACTTGACAGGAGTCTTTGGGACAAAAAAGGAAAAGACCAGCGGAAAGCAATGTGCCTTGCAACTGCACGAGCCCACCTGGGCTCAATGTCCGTGTCAGGATCCACGTTAGTCTCGTTGTTGTCCACATCAGGTCCTCCTGTTGAGGAGATTGATTTCAGCTGATGCTTCGGGTAAGCTGAAACGGAGATGAACTTACAGCCAGGTCGAAAGGCAGAGGGAAACTTAAGTAGCTCATTCCCTGCCGTCGTCTTCCTTGAACACATTGGAGTGTGGATGAACAGTCTTGCAAACAACACGAGACTAGCTGTGACTAGCTGTTGGATTCGTCGATTCGTTTGATGCTACACAGCACAAAGTGCTACACGTGTAACCCCATTCATCTGCCCCATTCATCACCGGCCTATGCAAAAGTCGCACGTGTGCTCCGGCACACAGCGGCAGGGGCCACAGTCCTGCACTCAGACTCAGAGTCGTTGAATGTTCCACATCTCAGGACTCTCATTTGAAGTCCACACTGGGCACAGATCTTGGGAAATTGTATCAGAAGTGCGTACCACCCCGCACCGCACGGCAGGAAGCAAGATGCTCCCTTCACACAAACCCCACACCTTGAAGTTCGCCGGGCAATTCTCCACCGTCGAGGGCCGCACGGTCGCCGAGCTGCTTGTGGGCACACCACGGAGGGACGCCGAGGCCAGGGCGGCCAAGGTCACAGCCACCTTCCAAAGCCAGGGCGGACCCACACGTGGATGTCCGGCACGCAGCCGGCACGCAGTCAAAACACTCACCCGCAGGAAGTGCCTGTAACATGCTGTGACCAGGTTCACTTGTTTGGCAACAAATGCTGAATGCCAAGAAGGAAATCAAGCGGAGGTGTCAGGTGGCGCAGCTTGGACGAAGCCGGGACCAATAGGTTCGGCCCTCGAGATATGAGTGACGGTCGAGATAAGGTTGTGGTTGCAGGTCATCGGGATTTGGTGAGTAGATCATTGTGTGCCATCACGTTATCGTTTGTGGTTGGTGTGCTGTCGTTGTTTTGAGCAAAACATGCATCTTGAGATCACTTGACCACTCCCTGACACTATATATATATAACTAATTGTCACCCTAGGCCCTAGCTCATGTTCATGTTTGAGGAAGGAAATGAACTATCTTCGATGCAACCTCGTCGGTGTCTCACCCCGTGACGTGTGTCGGACTTGCCAAGCACGCGTAACGGGAGTCTGAAGTTTCATGGCCCGAAAAGGTCTGGCACCGGGACCCGGCATGCCCCAAAAAGAAGAAATGTCGCTTGAGAAGGATGGTCACCCCGTCCAACCCCCCAAGCAAGCCTTGAAGATTGGCGACATGTGTTGAGTCTCTCCACTTTGAACCAAACTTGCTGCAGGGCTAGACACGAGCTTCGAGAAAAAGATGAAGAAGGCTGAACCATGGCATGTTTGATTGCAAACGGTCGCAAAGGCCCCAAATCGCAAAGGCCCCAATCGCTGTGAAGAGGCAAGATGCACATGAAAACACGGCGCCTGGCCATAACATCTCCCGGCTTCGCTGAGGCAAGACTCTCAAAGAGACTCTCTTCGTGTTGAGTTCTTGGCTCTGGGATCCTCGCCCTCTCCGATTTGAGCCATCAAAACGCCCAGCCTATGGGTCTGTCTGCTTAGGTCGCTGCCATCCTTCACATGGGGGATCGATTTGGCTCCTAAAACATCACCCAAAAGCATAGGCTTAGGAGTGTCTTGCATGGAGCCACCTGCATCATACCAGCTTTTGGTGTGGAATCTAGGCATCCAGTCAAGTCCAAGATGACCAGTGGTCGGAGCCAGAATGGCTGCCGGAGTCACAAACCGCGCGAGTTACAGGGTTGCAAGAGGGCACAGAAAGGATGGCATACTTTCCAGAGAAAGACATGATCCACTTCTCATTTACAAAGGTCTATGTCCAACAAAGCTCCTACCTCAAGAGCATTCGGCATGCTACCGCGACTGTAGGTATCCTTGCAAAAGAATATTCAAAAGTCCAGCTATGGATCTCAAGCAAATGACCACATGTTGTGATGCGAACGGATTGGAGCGACAAGACTTGCCATTTGAAGCAGATGGTCCTTCCATTTGAACATGTGCCTCCCTCCTCAGCCGTGGAAACTGCTCCTTCCACAGCTCCCTCCCAGAGGTTCTGGCGGCATCAACTCTTGCAAGCGCAATGCGACCTCAAAGAGGGGAACGAATGCACAGCATGAACCACATGTAAGACATGTCCGCGGGCTTTCTGATCCAGCGGCAGCTGAAACGTACGGCGCTGTCCAAAGGTTGGAGGGTTTGGGTTTCGGTTTGGGAGCGCTCCCAGCGTTTCTGCACTTCTCGTTTCGTGCCATCGCTGCGATGTTGGTCGGTTTGGGTCGCACCATGCCGATGCTGGGCAGGAGCTGCTGCATTTGGGCCCGCACATGTTGCACGCTCCGGAGTGTCTCTTCCTGACAAAAGACCGGTCCGGTCCAAATCTAGAGCTGCAGCAAATCAACCAGCTTGCATTGGAGCCAGGCTTACCAAGCCAACATCACTCGATCAAGTTGTTCAAAGCGTTGTTAAAGGCTCCGACCTATCTTCATGTGAATTTGCTCTACCATCTAGGTGGAAGACACAGGCTAGCTGAGACGCATTCTGCCAAGTGGAGTGGATCCAAAAAAACTTGAGCTAAACACGTGTGCTTTTTCAGGCCTTTCATGCTCTCATTGGGTCAAAGTCTCCGTCCTGGCTGGGCAGCGCTGCCCAGACCTTCGGCTCCAGTGAAGCCACCTCAGCCGACAGGCCGCGGTTCGTTCGACCCCACCGAGATGGCTATGCAGCTATGCCGAGATGGCAAATAGCATTGCCGTTGCTAACACAGGAACTGTATCTCAGAAGGGTTGAGATCTTGACTGATCTCATCAAACTTCAACCCTTTCAAATCAATGTAGATCCATTATATACAAGTTGGCATGTCGACATTACATCGCAAACTTCAAACCAGGCTGGAGCGGTTATTCCAAACTCCAGAGCTTCAGTTGCCTGTGTGCTGCAACATGTTCTGCAATGTAAGGTCGCCACCTGGTGGACATTTAGATACATTCAGCGGCATGGTTTGTCTTGGTCGGCCAATACCCTGTTGAAGGAAGTCCATTGGGCAGGTTACAGCATTCCAAGAAAATTCAAGCCTGAACTGTTCTTGCTGGGAGCGTGATTGACCCAAGAACTGAGCCATCCAGCTGACAAGAACTTCATTGCGCGGGCGATGTGAGGCTGCCCTGGGACTTCCCGGGCGTGTCACCTGATTTTCTCCAGCATGTGAGGGATGGTCACTTCAGAAGTTCTCCGCTCAAAAAGTGGGGAGAACAACATGGAAGCTTCTTGGACCAGGGACTATAGCAACCTTGAGACACAGGTGCGCTTCATCATCTGCAATTGTGAATTTTGGACATCAAATCTGCTAGCCACAAGTCCTCAACAAGGAAACGCCAGCACAGGCAAGCGTGGCCAACATGAGTCAATTTTTTGAAGACTGGCCCTTGGTCAAGGGCTCGCATCGTCACTTCCCCCACATCGTTACTTCCGGTGCCTCTGGATCTGGCCGGGCGGCCAGGATCCAGGCCGTCACAGGCGCCTCACTGCGATGTGGCCCCCCCCAAGTCTTGTGGGTTCATCATAAGGTGGCCCCACCTCCGGGAGGTGGCTTTCTGGTGGATCCAAAACCTTGACTCCGAAGAAGGCCACGTTTTCAGGAGGACGTAGCGAGGTGGTGCCTCCTCGAAACAAGCATATGTTGCAAAGTTCCTCAAGGCCTATGGATCTGACTCCACCAGATCGGCGTGAATCCTACAACCGTGAACTCCTTCCTGGTTTTGAATGCCTACGTTTGCCCCAAAGGGTTAGCTCACTCTTCAAATCCAATTTCTGCAAAGGCGCCACATGGAATGGGCGCTGAGTGGAACATCAAACGGCCACGGGCATTTGGACATCCACAAATGCAAATCCTCTTCGTCATGTCCATCATGTCCAATATTCCATCCCATGAGAACTGGAAAAAAAGAACGAACAAACAAGCAAGCAAACAAGCAAACAAGCAAACAAGCAAGCAAGCAAGCAAGCAGGAAGACACAACTCAAAGCCACTGGCACCCATGTTCAGAGACCTTCTGAGACCGTGTTCTAAAGAAGAAAGAATTCTAAATGCACAATTCGACCGACTCGCTTCAACCCATGGAGCACTTCTTTTGGGGATCTTTTCCACTCGGTTGGAGCGTCTCCACCCGGCGGGCATGGCGAAACGGCGTCTCCATGGGAGAGGTTGAAAGGAAAACGGTGGAGTTCAAGAAACTGATCCCAGCTTGTAACCATCAATTACTTCATCTGACCCGAGAATAGACCACTTGATGACAGAGCACCTTTTGGTTGAGTATGTCTTGCAGGACAATAGCTGTATCATTCCCCAAAAGTCCCAAAGCTCAATGCAAAAGAGTGAAGAAACCTGTGTTCAGCTCAGTTTGGCCTTACTCTTTTCCTTAGGATAACCAATGGCTGCACAGCTGACTACTCTGCAAGAATCGGCTGGAGATCGCCGCACATGTTGGAGATGGACGCAGTCCATCTCCTAAGACCGATGTCTGGCTTCAACGGCACAGCTCCTCCCAACCAACAGCAACCAACTGGAATAGCTGTATGAAATATGCTGAAATATGCAAAGAATTTTACAAAATGGCGACAGAACGTGCATAGATGCCTTTGCAGCACCACAGCACCAAACAATCGTGCTCGCTAAAGCTGTTAATCAAAGCAGACCTTCTCCTGGCCGTGCCATTTTTCAAAAGCATTGGCAAGTCGGACCCCACGCACTAAGGTACAAGCCGTCCTTCATGGCCTTCGGACATGAAATCCCCGACTGTCCCAGGCTCTTGGTGTCAGAAATCCCTCCACGCACAAAGCAAGATCTCACATGTCACCGCTTTTTTGAAGCAACACATCATGACATCCTCGACTCTCGGATTGACATCACACCAAGAAACCCAGTGCCCTCCTACGATCACTGCTCACATCTTTGGTTGCAGCGAATCTTACAGCTGGCTCTTACAGGGATAGGTGCCCAACAGCTGAATCGAACAGCCGCGAGGTGTTTTCGCTATGAGAAAGCTGAAAGAACCCTCCAGAAAAGACATGAAAAGACAGGGGAACAGGTCTGCAGCCTGTTCAAAGGCGCATTGGATGTGTAAATGTAGCTGTTAATTATGGTATTTTAGTCGGGCGATGTGCTTCAAATGTATTGAACATGCTCCGAAATCTGTAGTAGACCAAATCGTTTCATTAGGAGTAAAGCAGACAAGCTCTACCAATCTTTGAGTAGTCCTGTGGTCCAGCAATGCTACTACAAAACGACATGTCTAGTCTATCCAGAGTGTCTAGTCAGTGCGCTGGAATTGAAGTGCCAATGATCTCCCTTGCAGCTTATGTATCCGATCTTCATCCAGTCTATGGTGCAACTAGTATTGGACCGACTAATCCTGCACTTGGAACTACACTAGCCACTCACAGACTCTACTGTCACTATCAACTTCGTCTTCCATGACTCCTTCTTGACAAAAACATGCTATACACAATTTTGAGCCCGGTTGGAGTGCATGTCTATGCCTCTATGCGGGAGGGCCAATCTGATGGGTTTTCAAGCCGGACAAATAGGGAACAACTTTTGAGGTGAAAAGAAAGAGGACGACCTCTTGGAATTCCCAGTCCTCCAAGAGGGACATCCAGGTGGCAGCTTTTCGACAGACTTCGTGTGACTTAATTGAAAGAACCGTTTTTTTGCCTGCTCCCCCCCTCCCTACTTAATGAAGTATGCGCCTACTTAATTGAGTAAAGGAGAGGTAGCTAGTAGGTACAGGACACCTAGGTAGGATGCTCCTAGGTAGGCCTGAGGGCGGGCGAGAGCTTCCTTGAAGAAGCGCTCGCACTATGCAATTCGTTCCTATATAGATGTTTAGGGAAACTTAACATTCAAGTCAAGTCTGAACCTTAATTGGTCCCCGTCTTCCTGTCGCCAGCTCTCTTCGGCTGTCACTCCGCTGTGCATGTGCTTTTGGGTCCTGAAGAAAGAATGAGAACGGCGTGTGGTCCAGGATGTTGGAGACTTAGAATACCTTTCCTTTAACAAAATGGACAATTGTAAGGAAGTGAAGAGAATAACCTTTCACAAGTTGATGATCAGTAGCAACAACATCACCAAGTGACGAATCACACAAAAATCTAACTGATTTAAAATTGCCTGATGGAAAGGGCTTGTTTTGCTCAACATGGCGAAGCCCAAACTCAGTTCAAACCATGGTGCTGGGTAATTGAAAGTTGAACGTTTAATTTGCAGAACTTCATGTTTTCTCCTGCACACTCTGCGCAACATCAATCGCTGCCCGTACCAATCCAGCTGTATAAAGTGTCTAGTCAGCTTGAGCATACTCAAAAGGAACAGTTTGGTTGTTTGAATCGAGGACCACAACAGCAATGTACTCGCAGTCGTGTCAGCAGTTCGGAAGAAAGGGAACGCCGGCAACTTCTTGATGGAACATCTTCGGTGTTCGGAAGAGATCATCCAGATACTGGCCGTGGACCCGGAACCCCTGCGGACCGCCTGTGGGCGGTTTCGGGCCTGGGCGATCAATAGCCAAATTGGGTGTACAAGCCGCCAAAGGACCCAGGTCCAGGACTGGCCACAGCGAGGAAGGAGATGAGAGGGAGTGATGCTGCTAAAAGTCAGAGTCAGCATGAAATGGTTCATACTTCCAGTTGTTGGCTCCCTTCAAGAATCATAGTTCAATCCGATGTGTCCACGTATCTTCATTCGTTGATCATTTAGTTCATCAGCAGCGAGCGGTGCTGGCAACAGTAGAGCATCAAAACTTGCACTGAGACAAACAGTTTATTCAACTCACATAACCTCTTCTTCTTGGGCGGTGCTGATTACAAATCCAAATCACACAACTCAAATGTATTTGTGTTTACCAGGGCCTGAACCCATGCTTAGCCCTGCTTGATTGGATCAAGTCATAGCTTGACTACAAGATGGCTCATTCAATCTCAGGTTCTGTCATGAAACCATGGGAGGTCCTGGGGCCATAAGGATAAGCTGTTCCATCCCTACCCCGCTGCCTGGGGACGATCATGCTGCCAGACTCAAAGACGTCGTTTCGGCATCGAATTGAAAATTTGGGGCCTGGCAGCAGTGACTCATCGTATCAGCACTTTCTGAGTCATAGTGTCTAACATGAACGCATGAACATCCCAATATGATTTAAAATTGCAATCCCGGATTCAGACATGCATGATAATGCATGACAAATGAGTTTGCACCCTTGGCAAAGCGCATCACTTATAGCTCACCCACCTCCAGGTCTGGAGCCTCGGTAGCTGGGAGAAGCTGGGTGGAGTTGGGTAGCTCCGCTGTGAGGTCTTCAGGAGTTGGAAGGTTTGGCAGTCTTCTCCCAAAGCAGTTCTCCTTCCAACGCAGTGCCAACTGCCCATGCCAGGCATTCGCACGCAGGTCATATTGACCGGGTCCAGGGCTTTGGCCTCACGCGACGTCGGGAACTGAATAGAGGAGTGACCGGAAGATGTTTACGGTTTGGGACTTCCAGCCAGAACAACAAAGCCACCAAGAGGACACCTCTTGAGCAAATCTCCTAGCAGGGGTTCTAGACGTTTCGCATTTTTCAGTCCATCTGGCAGACATGCAGCTGATACAAGTGGATAGGAGTCTGGACATCGTCTCAGGACACATCTGTTCGTTTGTTCATGGGTGGGGCAAAAGTGAGGATGTCGTGGCGGTACCAGCACAGCGAAACGCCCAGAGTCAATTTAAAGTAATCTAATGCAAGCCCAAAGACTCAAGACGCATGGATCGGCCTTTTTTCACGAGAACTTTCTGCAAAAACCCACTTTGAGTTCCCCAACCACAAGTGTGGACGCCGCGATTGCTGCTGCCAAACCTGCTGCTGGAATGGAGGTCCAGGATCTCAAGGAAGCAAGAAGGAGCTCAAGTGTCCCCAAATATCTATCTAGACAGATCTATGAACTATATAGATAGAAAGTTTACAGTAGAGGTGTTCTCACAACTTCTGAGTGAAAACTTCACTCCTCCATCTCCTGCAACCTGGGAAAGAAAAATTGGAGAAATGGGGGTTCTGGGGAGTTCTTGTTCATCAATCACCTCGGTGAATTTTCTTGGCTCTTGAAAATTTGTGTTGAGCCTTTGTCGTTTTTCTGGGGTCTTGTTATGCGTGTTTTAGGGTCATAACTTTCACTATCATTGCTATAATTCAACAAGGTGGATGATTGTTTAGGTTGTTGTGTTTTGTTTTGTGGTGATTTTTGGGGGTTTGGGGTTTGGGGTTTATATTCCCATAATGCCAGTTTCATCATCCTCTCCATTTCTTATAACTTCTGGCTGTTCTGTTCCTTTTACTCTGTTTTGATGTTTGATGCTTTCCTCGTGTCGTTTGACTTGATTTTTGTTTATGATGCTTTCGCACACCGGACATACTAATGTTTGTTCATTTCTACGATAGTAGTATTGTCTGGAATATTCTATCAATTTATCTTGGTTTTTCTCTCTGTATCGTTACTTTGCTTCCAGACATAATTTACATTGCTTACATTCATTTTTGAAATAGTTGAGTGGTTGAAAGACCTTACACTTGGAACATTGCTGTTTGTCAGTCATTGTATCTCTATAAGTTTAAGGGGTTGTTTTTAAATGTTTTTAGGGGGTTCTCTTGTTGTGGGGGGTTGGGTTTAAAGGATTAGTTCATAATATGTTTAACTAAAATATTGTGAATTAATCGTGCTTATGCTTTCCATTTTCCTATTCCATCCCACCAGTGTTCAATGACCCTCATTTGTGTTAGACAAGGTTTGTTTGTATCGTTTAGTTCATCCATCGCTATTAGACAGAAGAGTTAGGTTTATAATCATAGCATTGAATTCTCCATCACGGTTGAGTTCCTTACCACAATCAATGATGACTTTTCTGTCCGTGAGGTTTTCATACAGTTTTTTTCTAATGTCAAACCTCACGAACGAAAAGATTAACATACCAGTTACTCCTTCCTTTTCTTTCATCCTATCAATCACTTTGTGCCAGAAGGCATCGCCGTCCTCATCATCAGGTAAAGACATAGGATGGCATCTAACGAATTCTCTTATCTATTCATCTTATTTTTCTATTTGTTTTCTTTCCCACTCTTCATCCTCACTATCACTTCCAAAATCAGCATATAACGCTACATTAGAAACTGAACTCAAATCCACAATTTTTGCGCTACTCATTTTCTCTTACTATATATAGGTATTTTGTCTTTAAGTAATTTTGCTGTCTTGTTCATTTTTCGGGCTCTGGTTGGTTTTCCTTTTTCCTTTCCTCATCTTCCAGTTCCTTTATCACTCTATCTATCTCGTGTAGTCCTTCGTTTGCCTTTCTTCCATTCGCCAAGTTCCTCAACCTCTCAAAGTCTTTTACCCTCTCCTCTCAACGGGTGATAAGGTTTTAAGGTGTTCCTTTAACTCTTTCAAGTCAAAGTATGTATCCTCCTCTTCATCATCACTGACTTCGTTTTCGAAAAACATTCTCATCCTTGCCTTTTCCATCTCCAAAAGTTTGTTTACCATAAACTGGAACTTCATTTATCTCTTTCCACACTTCCCGCACATATTCACGAAGGTCTTTAACAAATATGTCCAGTTCGGTTCTTTCCATTCATTCAAGGAAATAACTTCAGTCATTATCCGACATCCACAGTCAAATTTAGTAATCTTTACTCTCTTACTTGTAAATATCATCTTTTCTTTAAGTATATGTTTTGTTATTTAAGAAAATCTGTAAAATCTAAAACTATAATGATGGCAAGAAGATTAACAACAGAACAAATAATAAGAAATGTCTATTAGGATTTGGAAAAGGGTTTCGGGTCAATTCAAGACACACTAAAACAAGCAAAAGAAAAAGACCCGTCCATAACAAGAGTGGATGTGGAAACCTTTATAAAGAAACAACCCAACAAACAGATTAGGGGATACAGAGGTTCAAACTCATATACGGCTCCGTTCTCAAGGTTTGAATACCAGATTGACATAATGCATATGAAGCCCTTAACCAAAGTTCCCGAGGCAAAAATACCAATGAATAATTCCGAGCCACCCTATGCTTTAGTCGTTATATAGATATTTTTAGTAAGATGGTCGACGTCGTGCCTATGAAGCAGAGAGATGGAGAAACGGTCTTACCAGCGTTGAAGCAAAGTCTTAAGAAAATGGGTTTTCCAATGTCAATATACAGCGATGATGACGAATAGTAGTCTCAAAGTTCTTCAAGGATGAAGGCATCAATCACATCATCACAAGGACACACGCCAATGTCGTGGAGCGTTTCATCAGGACACTTAAGAATATGATACACGACAGGGTGAGATTTAATAAGGCGGGATGGACGAATATGCTTCCGGCGGTCTTGAAGAAATACAGCAGCACCAAACACTCATCCACAAAACTCACACCCAATGAAGCCCGCAATGATAAGAGCCATGTGGATGTAAAGGTAAATCTGACAAGAAGAGAAAAGAACACGAGGAAGTATGAGGAGGTAGAAGAAAACGACACAGTCAAAATCTTCACCAAGGGAAGAGGCAACTACACCGACAGAAAAGAATACAATAGCAAATGGTCTAAAGAAAACTACAAAGTCAGGAAGATAGAATACGACACGACGGGAAACAGAACCTTTCAACTGGAAGGATTGACTAAACCCTTCCTTCGCCACGAGATACTAAAGGTTTGATATGATGTCATAAATAAGTTCTTCCGGTATTCTGTATAGTTCATCCTGTGTCTTCTTCCTTTGTTCCTCCCATCTGCCTTTACACGGTAGTCTCTGTGCGGTCTCTTTGTGTCTGTTCCCTACAATGCTATTACAGTCTTTTTTACATAAGGGTCTGGGTTTCCAACTCTTTAGATTGGTCCATATCCTTGTCCGCTTTCTATATTCAAAACCATACTTATAATAATCAACATCATAGAAATCAAAGTCTTTCATAAAGTCCTGTTCCTTCAATAGTCCCGTCTGTGGATTTTCCATGAAAAATATTCTCGGTTGAAATAGTTTTCCTGACAATGCTGTTCGCATAATCTATCTTTCTAACACCAGTGGTTTTTGCTCTGCTATATTCAGTGAAAGGAGGCGATGCCCAAATTATGTCAAAGTCTTTGTCATACTTTATATAGTCCCATTGTAATATATCTTCGTTGATGTTAGCGTTCTTCAAATCTAACGATACAACACTAAAACCGAACTCACGGGCAACTCTACCAACACTGCCTGTTCCACTAAATAACTCCAATAGTTTCATATTAAAACTCTATAGATGTTCATATGAAAGTATCACACTAAAACATACTTCTCCGTTTCAGTATCCTTAACGATTTGGTAGAATTCAAGCGTCTGCTCTTTAGGTTGAGTGATTTTTCCTTTGTTAATCCATTCCAAGTATTGTTTTCTCTTCTCATCCCACAAACCAACAGGTCTTCCTATTTGTTTTTTTTCAAAGATTTTATCAATCTTTTCCTTATCATCTTTCTTCTCCTCCTTTTTAGGTTCAGTGAGTTTCTCCTCAATGGTCTTCAAAGTCTCCATTATGGTCTTGATGTTCTTATTACATCTGTTAGTCTGTTTGTCAGTTCCATCATTTTATCAGTGTTCTCGTCCATATCACTCATAAATATTTATATATATAGTTATTGGTTTAAATATTTATTTATCAAACCTTTCCCGTCAAAATCTACTCTTTAAATGTGTTTAATCCATATCTTGTACAGATGATTGTTTTTTATCACTTCTTGGTGTTCTCATCACATCAGCAATCATCCGATTGGTGCTTTCCTTGTCTTTGTTCTCTGGTGTGATTTGTCTGTTCCAACTGAACAAGATGCTGTGTGCTTCACTGTCTAGTTTGATGTCTTCGTTGTCATCTCTGCTGACGTTCATAGTCTTATCGCTTTTTGATATTTTGAAAGAACAAGGATTACAACTACATTTTATCCCTTTAGGGTTTATTTCTATTTCGTTTCTCAATTGTAGTTTTCCGTTGCATAAAGGACAGTCAAAGGTGATGAACTTGCTGGTTAGTTTCTGTTCTTCATTCAGGTTTTTTGTTGTCAGTTCTTCATCCGACAGTTCATAATCTTCGGGTATGGGTGTTTTATTCATCTTTGGATTTGCTTTCTTGCGAGGCATTTATGTTAAATTTTAGATATGTAATTATCAATTTTGATACTTCAAGTGTGTATTTTACAACAGTGTGTTATTTTATAGTCTTTGACAACGGTGTATTTATCATCATCAGTAATTCTAGTTTGCATATCATCTATTGCCATTATGTAAGCGCCGTATTCAGAAAGTGTCATACTATATATGTTTTTAGGTGTTTAACTATAATTAGATATTACCATATAAAAATCTAATTATAGTGCTTTGGGGGGAGCACTGTATGAATTCAACTTGGCAATCGTCAAACACTGGGTGGGGCAAGTCCATCGCAAATCAAACTAATTAGTGACTTATGCGGATTGAAGCGAACTGTCCCTAAATGGTTTCCTTCAATAAGAATATAAACATTGTATTTTCTAAATATGTTTAATATCGCTCAATGATAAATATCAAACCCTATAAGCACAAGAAATACAGCAGTAAGCAGTCAAAGTATGGTTATATGGCACCGCTTCCAGCGAGAATACTGTTGAACGCTCCATCAGGAACGGGTAAGACGGTGGCATTAACAAATCCGATAATGGACATCTACAAAGACTGGTTTGAAAGGATATACATATTTTCGCCCACCGTCTTTATGGATGACACTTGGACGGTTGTAAAAAAAATACATTGAAAACGAGATGGATATAAAACACTCTGATGAAGACCCCATCTACTTTGACAACTTTG